ATCCAGGAGGATGCTCTGCAGCCCCAAATGGTGGGAATGGTGGTTACTCTTCTTGTTGTGTTTCCCACATTGCAGGTCTGTCTGGGTTTTCAACCAGACTTGGCTCCAGGAAGGCAGCATGAGGCTTGTTCCTCAAGGTCCCACTCACGCAGCAGGAAATCAGGTAGGTCCTTTCTTTTCTTGCCTCTTCCTGCTAGGAACCACAAAGCAAGGGAGTGGCACAGGAAAATCTGTGCTAATTCTGTGTGGGCCAATTTGTTGCACTATGTTTTGGTTTTCTTTCATAGCTGCAGAAGGAATATTAAGGAGAGTTGGTGAGGAGCATCTCCTGATACCCCATACATATTTTGCTACTTATATAAAAATATTACATTATTAGGAGGCCTCAGAATATTCTGAAGACCGAGGACTGTGTTCCAGCCTCTTGCCGTGCCATCCAACATTTGAGATTGCAGGGATTTTCTGCCCTCTCCTCCCTATGAAGTGAGTGGAAAGAAGCAGGACCGACTGAGACTGCTTGCCAGGGTATCCCGCTTTCTCTTTGCTGACTGCAGGAGGAGCAGCATCTGGCCAGGTACTAGGGAAGTCATTCTGTCTTGAACATGCATGCCAGCACAGATGTGCAGTCACCTTAGGGCCTCTAACACAGGGTTGGGATACAGACACTTAAAATTGTTTTGTCAGCTTTTAAGGAATGCAGATCCAAAGGTGTTAACCCAGAAGTGTGCCCCTTCCTCTTCCCACCTCCTCAAATTAGCTGAGGGATCATAAACTGCCAAGTTCTACCTTCCATTTGCCAGAACCGCTCAAGAATTTACAGGTGGACAATTCTTGGCCATTATATCTTGATCCTCTCAAGTCATCATCACTACTGTAAGGGGAAAAAAAAAAAAAAAAATCTATTTTTCCAGTCCAGTAGTGTTTCTTATCAGAGGTAACAAAGCTTGTTTTGTAATAATGCTATGGGAAGGACACAATTGCATGCTAAGGGCAAAGTCTGGTGGATTCGAAAGCTTAGTTAAGCAATAGGAAAAAGACGATAATGAACAACCCCTTATCAAGGTTCCAGGGAGATTAATCTGGATGTGTGCCCAAGGCACCAGTAACAAAATCAGTGTACACGTTTTAGCTAACGATCTGGAAGAGAAAACAGGGCGCTTTGGTGTGTTGACATCAGGAACCTGGCTTTGCAAGGTCCTGATCAGGGGGCAAAGGAGGGAAGTGCAACATCTGCTTATCTCCTGTGAAACCAGAACGCCTTTTAGCCATGAGTAAATTCGCTGATGTCAGTGAACCTTTGACGTGCTAGAAGCAAGCCAGTCGCGGTACCTCCGGTGCTTTGCTGAATCAGGACCTGGGTGCACGGCCTCTGTCACTCACTGGGTTTATGCAGGGGAAGGGGAAAAAAAAAAAACCATTTCCACTTCTGGCGCCTTCTCGACTGCAGGAGCTTGTGGTGCGGGGAGACCGCGTTGCCTGCTGGGGCCGCGTGCTCTACACGGGACCGTACAGCAAGCCAGGTACATCCGTGCCGCATCCACGGCGTGCCTGGCTCCCACGTGCAGCACATGCGTCTCCTGAGCCTGCCGTGAGTGAGGCATAGAATGCATGTATATGTATTTCTGCTTGGAAAAAACCTGAGGGGAAATGAGCTAGTCCTGTCTCTAGGTACTGCAAGACAGTAAAGGTGGATGGGGAAAACACAATGGGTGTTTTTGTTGTTGGCTTTCATTTTCTGTAGTAGCTTATTAAAGTCCCTGGTGTACTTCAGTTCTGGGCTGTTTCCCTGAACACACCTGACATACTGACAGATGTGATAGTACATTTTTGTAATTGCAAAATGCTTAAAGTTTACACCATCTGATCCACTTCCCTGGCGTTACAGGTGAAAAAACATGGTTAAGAAGGGGAACTCAGCACACAAGGCTGCCACTTGCAGATTTACTGCCAGACACCCACAGTCTAGCTGGTTTTCACCTCTCCTTTTTCAGGTAAAGCACCTACACGCATTTTTACAGCTACTCTATCTTCTTAAGAGAGATTGCAGGACATTCCCAGGCAAACACAAGTCCACTACAGGACTGTTTGGTCATGGCACGGTCTGTGCTGACAACCACCCTTCTCTTACAAACCAGCTATTGAAAGCCAGTTGTCCCATTGCTTCAGAGCTAGAAGAGACACTTCATTTAGTCTGTGGAAGAAGTTGTTTGTTAAATATGGATTCAATGGCAGATGTCTTTTTATATAAAGCTAAAACTGGTAGTGAATTTTCACACTTTTTACATTCTAGAGGGTAAACGTGCACTGGTGAAGGATTCTCATCTCTGATGATGAATGCCATCCTAATTACAAAGAACAAGGTGATGCACTGGTTTTAGGCACTATGTAAACTCTCAGCAGATGCAACATTAAGCATAAGTAAACCACGATGTCAGTGTTTCCCTGCCCTGCTACATCTATTTGTACTGTATGAAAGTTGCTTTGCTCAACTCTATTTGATAAGACTTAAAATAAAAAAGGCTTTTGCTTGCACTAGACTTCTTAGAATGAAACGAAGATACAAGATAACCATTTAGAAGATTTTTATTACAAAATTATTTCAAGATCTACATCCACATAAAAGGCTTAAAACTACAGCTGTACTTTCAGGAATAAAAATTCAGTAAATGCTGAAAAAAGTACTGTATTATCTCGGTAGATAGCCCTTAAGTAATTTTTAATACTACAGAGATCGCACATGCTATACACACACCTCTGCCTGCATTGTGACTGTGTTCTGCAGATTCTCTCCGCCAAGGAAGATTACAGACATGTTTACAGCACCCGTGTGCTTCAGCTGCTTTGAGATAGAAATTACAGCTCCTACCTGGAGTAGCTGCAGCTATGTTGCAGATGTACAGTGTATCATGAGATCATAACTCATGTTCAAAGCATTACTGGGCGCAGACAGAGAGGTCTAAGTTGTGTTTACTTGACAACGACTACCTACATATGTTTTTGTGACCTTGTATTCAATACAAAAATCAACAAATATTCAAGTATATTATGGCAGTGAAGGCAGCTTTTTTATACCTGTATATTCTAGATAAAGATATTTCATTTTTATTATCCATCTCATTCACTGAGCTGAGCTCAGATACATGATCTGGTGACCTTTGGTGACTGCAGCTTATTCAGTGGGATAAAAAACAGCCTTAATGCAGTACTGAAGTTATGAAGCTCAGTTAGTAGTTGCTTCTTAGTTTTTAAAAGAAATGAAGCGTATCAGAATACTATTTTATTTTCAATTGAGAAATCTATCCCAACAGGATTTTTATAACACAAAAGTAGTTCCAGCTTTCTCTCGTTCCTATTAAAAAATATTTGATATTCACAGTAGAGTATGGAGTGGCTTTCTGTCCAACAAATACAAATCTGTTTTAGAAAACTGTCAAATAACTGAGGACACTTTAAATACTGTACTTGCAACTTCTTGCAAAGGATACACTTAAGATAATATGCTAATTAGTAAAAAAAATTCAAGTCATATTATACAGCCCTGATGAACTTTGACTGGCCAGTTTGGCTATGTCCAATAGTTTAACTTCTATTCGGTCATTAAGTTCACCTTGCTTACAAGGGGGAAAATCCACAGAGAAGATGGGAAAGGAAGCAGCTTATTGAGAATGGAATATTTTCCCAACAGCTCGCTCCCACTGGCACTGTTCCTGTGACAATTCCCTGTTATTTTGCTCTTCGTAAAACTTACTCTATAGGTTTCAGTGCTGTTCCTATTTTGAAACTTCTCATTTCCTAAGCCCTTTCCATTGCAATGAACAGTTCTTGGAACTAGAATTCTAGTTCCAACATCACTCTTCCCAAAAACCTTTCAAACAGACATTCAGTGCTCATCACAGCTTTCAAGGGGTAGAATCCACATGTACTTCTGAGCTAGTGTGGTCTAATACGAGTTTGACAAAGACGATAGGTAGAATTTGGTTTAGTGTACTGAGCCATTAATCTTCCAAAAGCATGACAAAAAGGAACAACAAAACCATGTTTTAAACATGCTGTTTCCCACGTCATGCTTACATAATACAGATCACCAAAACCTTTCCATTCAACTTGCATGTCTGACTTCAGTTCTTGGAAAATCCTAACCGACTTACTTGGCACATGCTTTCCAGAGTGCGGGATGTAGGGTAGATGTAGCCTAACCATACAGCTGCTACAACCAAGTAGCTTTCCATTTCTTTCCAGTAGCTTTCTAAAATATCCCAATTTCCTTCTTAGTTACCTCATGCATAGGAGCCTTACTTGGCTGGTTTTTCCATGAACAGCTTAATGTAAAAAAAGTCTAGCAATTAACTCATAGAGCAAGGCATCACATAAGAATTATACTGGAATACAGGTGCATCTTTTTTTACAACTTTTTAAAAGGACTTCCTTATATATGGAAAACACTTTCTCCCTACCTCCCAAGGCTCCCTCCCTTCCAGTCAGGCTGTATTTGAATGCTGTTTCTATCTTGCTACAAGACTGCCATGTCAAGTGGATCTTTTCCAAATATCATCAATACAGCTTTAAAGTACAGGTGTTACCTATCTGAATAGTTCCATAGTAAGATGAACCACTGATAACTATTCTAGGAGAAAAATATACACCGGCATAACTGACGTTTATCAGTATTCAGAATTCAAGCATTAAACAGGACTCAAAAATTGCACAGCTCTACCACATCATGTCTTTGATCATAAGGGAATAAAAATAGTCTGATTTTCCTCTATACACATATCTTCTTTAAAGACATACGTGCTCCCATTTTCTTCATCCTGAAGTCCACAGCAGGATTTCACATTCAGCACATACAGTCTAGGCTATAACATCCTTATCTTCTTTCTCTTCTACCAGTCCCGAAACTGAAGAATTTGCTTGTTTGGAGGTAGACAAATACTTCCAAACGCTAGTCTTTTTTGAGAAGCCAGCTTGATCCCCTTGGGTGCCTGGATACCAACTTCTCTTCAGAGAGCTGCACTCTGCTTTGAGACATTCTTTGGGCCTTTACTTGGGACACACCAGTCATCTGCCTCTGAGGTAGCCTGGTAATGCTTGGAAGCAGATTTGTTAAAAACTGGGAGTTTTTCTACTGATTCTGTTGATAGGGCCTAAAAAAAAAAAAATCAAGAAGGAAAAAAGTTACGTGGTTTCCACCTCTCAATAATGCCACTTTGCAAAAATTCAAGCAGTATGTTCAAGTGTTAAGCCAGTGACACTAAAAAATTGTTATTTACACAAATTTTCTACAGTAGATGCAGTAGTTTACATGCTTCAGTATCTATGGCTGCTTTGGATAATCTGGCAGGACAAATGCAGTAACATCAAGTAATATTTATGCATCTTTATAGGCCTTAAGCGTTACTCTAACCTGTTTGCAAGACAGTCCTGGAAACTGTAGGAAAGAAATTTTTAAAGTTTCTCTGGGATTTTTAGGATGTTCCTTTCCTACTTCTGTATTTTGCAGCTAAAAAAATAATTCATATTCTATCGGGAAATTGTTAAATAGGAATGCAATATGTATGTAGCTGAACTGCCTCTTCCTTTTGTACTGCTTCTCTGGGCTGTGCTTCAGTGTGCTTAGAACTATGTTTTTCGTTTAGCCAAAGAAATTCAAAGCAATTTTTTCCCATGAGTAAGCGCAAAAAAGTAGAAAAGAATACGTAGGCCTTTTTTTCCAGGTTATCTATAAAAACTGCAGTGCATATTATACACCAGGTATTCAGGATTACTGATATCTGAATCCCATATATAGGCTACATGGCACACGTTGAATATAATCACATAACTGGATTCTTTAAGGATTAGTTTATACAGACTTTCTGGTTGACAGAGTGAAAAAACAACAGTAAAGAAACTAGATATATTGCTTTCTGTTACTTCACTTTCTCCCAGTACTATGTATTCCATGAACCAGTAGGTAAAAAATCTTAATACAATCTAAAAACTATTTGAATAACTACTGAGAGCCCCATTAGACTATTTAAAGTCAAGTGACCTCTGTAATTCTAGATACCAGTTACAAATCTTACTGGCATTTCTTAATAAAAATGAGAGTTTTTCTATTCATGAGCAGAGAATTCGTTTACCTTAGAACAGTACAAAGTAGTTACCTCACTACATTAATGGTGGCTATCAACACTATCTTTTATTTAACCAAATCAAAATACATACCTTCAAGTAGATAATAGCATCTGTTCCATAACCACATATGGAGTAGAGATTTAAATCTCCTTGAAAGTATTTAGCATACAGACGAGAAATTGGCAAGCCATACCCAAAGCCAGCCTAAAAATAAAGTACAAGACAAAATTAATTTATTTTTTACTAGCTCTTATAACTTAGAATTAAATAGTGGAAAGTGTTCAGAGATTTTAAGCTGTTAGAAAGTCCTTTGCACTTACTCATCTCTACAGAAATCTCTAATCAGTTTCATATAGAATATTGAAACTGACCATTAAAACAAAAAACAAATCTCCATGAAAGAGTTTTATACGTACATCTTACATTCATGTATTTTCCCTGCCCTGTTGTGGCTAGTGCAGCTTGATTAGTAAAAGGAGTTTGCTACTGGTAGATAAACAATAGTCTATTACAGTCGTGCTTGCCTCCATAAAGATAATGCAATTTATAAGTTTGAGGACTGAGTGGGAGTGAAGACCAAGTAAGGTACTGTCATTGGAGTAGAAGAAAAAAAACAAAACCAGATTTAAATTCAGGATAAAATGTTCTTCTTTGTTTATACCTTTAAAAGCGTAGTTTTGTCCACTAAGCTAGATATTAAAAATCTGTTTCAGAAAGTGTTAATTCATGTTTATGAGGCTAAATAATCTTTGCATACCCCACAGAACAGTAGGGTGGACATATTGTTTCATAATTTAACCTACCAATCTGTCCAATACTTATAGCAGCCTTATTAGTAACATAAGCATTGAAAATATCTTACAAGAGGGGTATTTCGACCATCATCCATCCTCGGCCTTGGTGCTGTGGAATACATGTAGCTAAACAGCTGCTCAATTCTCCTTACTGGAACACCACCTCCTCTGTCTGAGATCTGAGTTAAGAGAATAAAGTCAACTACAATCATGTGCTAAGAATGGTATTTAAAAATGCTGTTATTTGAACAAACCCTTCCAACAGTAATAAATGCAAACATTTGTTTTGCAGCATCTTATTTTTCAATTAGATTATAGCCTCTGTTTAGTGCAATTACCAGAAGGCTCATGCATATTATCTTTGATCTGTTGTCAGAAGCTGCAAATTCTTCTAATAGAATTTGTGGCAGCATATGCAATCATAAAGATTACATTAAGCCCATGTGGTAGTAGACCAACAACATACCTTAATTGCCAGGTCTTCTTGTCCTAGAACAACTGTCACTTCAATCGGAGAAAGAGAAGGACTGTTTTCTTGGAATTCAACGGTGGCCCGCATTGAATTCTATGGAAATGAAGGTTTCCATTATAAGAAAGTGTCGGATCTATACATTTGAAATCATACCTCTATTATGCAGAGGCTGAGCACAGTTACCCTCCATTCCTATCAGTGCCTAGCTCCCAAGGAACACACTTAGCAGTTTAGTGTAACAGGAGCAGAGGAGGTCTCACACCTAAAAGTGACTAAGCATAGCCAAGACTCTTCTGGGCTTGAAAGATTACACTGTTCTTGCCCAACACATAACTCAGCTAATGTAAATTAAATAACATAACTCCCTTAAAGAACCAGGTATCTGGAGAAGAGCAAAGCTCAGCAGTTGCTAAAAGCTGCCAGAATTCTACACCCCATGTTGGCAGCATGTTAGTTCAGCCCTGTTCACTACTTCAAGATGTATCACCCACTCCAGAAAAGGCACCAGGGCAAACCTGCATGGCAGACGTAATCCCCAAAAGCAGAAAGCTAGCAGTGGTCACAAGTCCATGTCCCACTTTTACTCTTGCCCTCCCTTACCCTGTTCCATTTACCACCACACAAAAGTCTCCAAATACTCTTATGAACTACAATCATAGCTTTGGCAGCTGGGACAGGAATTTCCCCAAATAAGAAAATGTTAGAAATCTCACTGTCCTATGCAAAGCTTTACTTCGTTCACATCTAGCTAGAGATTTTAAATATTGACACTCCAGCTCAGACTACTAAGGGAAGAAACAGCTTATATTGACAAACCTTGAAGAGTTCAAACAGCATGTGAAAAAGATGAGATGGAACATATACGATGTTAATTGGCTCTCCTGGAAATTTTCCTAGAGGAAGGAAAAAAGTGACAAGCAACATTTAAAAAGGTGATGGAATTTCTGTGTTGTATCCAAATTTTACAATAAGCAAGCTGTATGCCAAAACAAACAACAAACTAAATCAAGTCTTAGTTTTGACCGAACAACTTTATGCACTCATAGCAGTGTTTAGACTCTTAATTACCACTTGCTTAAAACCAGTTGACTTTCAAATAAACTGAAAGAGTCAAGCATTAATTCCATTTTATAATTAAAGGATTTTAGAGGTTAAGCAGATTGCCCAAGATCAGACACATGCAGGAAGCCTGGACCAGCAACAGTGTTTCTCAGTCAGCCCCTCTTCCTCACCCCAGATATAGAGGTCCTCTCTAGCAACTTGTCATATTACTTTAAGTACAGGCTAGTCTCACTTCCTGAGGTAATATTTATGAATTTGAGGAAATGTAGTGTTTAAGATACAATGACATTTGAGTTCTAACACAGGTGCTTGTAACAGAAAATGAACAGGAACTAGCCCAAGACAAATCAACTGGTATGTACCATTATGGCTATAGAAATGGGAGCCTTTTGTCTCAGTAAAAGCAGCAGTTTGGCTACCAATCAGAAGGCAGACATAAGAGCTCTCATCTTACCATTCACTTGAGTAAGTTTCAGTTCTGGAGATGTTAGGTAATACTGGTCACACAACATCTTGGAACTTACAAAAGCATCTGAAAGAAATATTTAAATAGAATATGTGAAATGTAATATCAATGCATGACAAAATATGATTCTTAATTGCATTAGCTGCTCAGATGTAACAGACTCTAAGCCTGTGTTTCATAGGGAATGATAACACTGCATTCACTGAGTGCATGAAAAACTGAGAATAAATAGGCAATTACAGCAGCATGGGCAAATCTTCAGTGCAGTTAGATAATTCTGTAAAACAGATGCATCTGTTATCTATCAGTAGGTAAGGACTACCTGAACACCACAAACAACTTGAACTCCTAACTCATCAGTCATTTGCTAGGCCTTATTCCAACCCTTTTTTTAAATGCTACTTTGTATTTTAAATTGTCCTATGAAAGCTTGTGTTTTGATAGACTGCTTTCAGATTTTGCAATAAAAACCAGTCAGCATCCTATACAACACACATTGGTCACCCAAATTGCTTGCAAGCAGATATAAATACTGATCATGAAGAGAAATGTTAGGGCTGAGAATACATACCATTGACTACTTCAGCAACATCACAGCAAGGATCAATACTTCCAATGTGCCTTGGGTGCCCTGAGCCAGATTTATCATCAAAAAGAAGGGCTGTTGGAGATGAAAACAATACCGTATTTAATCCCAAATACTGTATTATAGAAAAGCCTTAAATTTAGACTAATACAGTGTGATCACAGCCTATAATCACATAGAATACTGAGTGTTGTTTATGCCTTTTACAAGTTAAAAATGCTACCTACTGCCAACAATCAATGTTGGCTTTTCTGTAGTTCAACATCTAAAGGCTTTTCAGATGTAAAGAATGAGATCCCTACGTATTCCACACAAGATTTATTACAATTAGTCTGTAATCTAGAAAACAAGATTTCCCACTACTTTCGTTAAATTATACATCGTTTCTAACTTCTCAGTGTCAGACAAGTCATCTGAGGCAGATCTCCAACAGTTTTAATGAACGTTTACATTAACATGTTTCTCATTAGGTTGAAGTTTTTCCTCAGGTAAAAGTCTCTACTTACTGTGTTGGTTCATTAGCATCCGGGTAGAAATACGGCTCATGTAAAAACGATCCAAGAAGTACTGAATGTTTTGATTGGTGACAGGATCTACTTTAAAAGTATCTTTGTATTCAATTACTCCTTGTGCCATTGTAGGAACCACATCATGATGTCTGTTTCGGACTCTAATTAATGTATCTATAAAGCTAGGTCAAAAAGAGATCTTTTTAGAATATTATTCTAAGACTACGTAGAGACAAGCTTTGTACAACATCATTATCTATTCCAGCGGCAGCACAGATAACTGCAAAACAACCTTAATATTAAAATACAGACTGTTTTTTCACTCTTTTAAAAGTAATTCCTCACTGACCTAAACCAGAAGAGTTTAATATTTTTAATATAAAAGGTATAATCATTAGCCATATCAAATTCACTGCCTGTTACTCATTCAAAATAGTTTGAGCAGAGGAGAATGCAGGGAGGGAAACAGGCCTCTAGCTGACATCTTGCAAAGAAGAAGGTAATTTCTGCTGATATTTCTCTGTCGCGACAATTCAAGGGGCAGTATGCCCTCAAAACCAAGCTGCAACAGGTCATATTTATTTGCAATATTGCTAAACACGATCAGACACTTAGACCAGCTTGCTCTATGCACAGCACTTCATGCAAGATTATCAAATTCAGCTCATGACAGCTGCCAGTCTAAACTGACTACATCATTGTGAAAACTGGAATGCGAGATCAAAAGCTCAAAGAAACAAATGAAAAGCTTACTCGGATAAGACCTTTTGGTCATCTGGGCTTTTCTGATGGAACTCAACCAGATCCATTAGGCTTTGGATGTACCTATTGAAAAGAACACAAGAAGTATATGCTATTCATTTGATTTTTATTAGTCTAGAAACAGGAAAAATACCACCTTGTCCATAACATTACTCTTAACAAGTCAGCTAGAACTTTGAAGTATCAAAATTCCATTCAAGTATGGAATCATAGATGGACACATCTTGACTGACTAAACCCTAGGAGTTTTAGAAGTCTTGTCTTGTGCTTGCCACCCAGAAAGGAATCTAAACCCTTACTTTAGGTACATAGGATCTCCTTATAGTTCCTGAGAAGTGAGGTATTTCAAAAGAAGATCCAGATGACAATACTGATCAGGAAACCACCTAAGCAAAGTTCTTCCAAGCTTGATCAGCTTTGGCACAAGCTAAGCACTTGAGCCTCTTTGGCTAGCATCTGACAGTCTTGACGCATATTGCAAAGGCACAACTGTTTGCTAGATTAAGAACAGTTTCTGGATCTCACTTTAATACTTTTGCCCTTGATGCCAACCATCCTTGCAAAGCTGCAACTGTGCCAGTAAAGCAAGGCTAAATCAGACTCAACCACTCTGTCAACCACACAGATTATGTTAACTGAATTCCAAACTTTTGGTGCACGGGCCAAGGCAATCTGCTATGGAATGGAAACTGTTAGTAATTCCATCAGTGAGACACTCAAACAAGTATATAGCCTGCTCTTCCACTTTTGTGTAGCTCTAGGTGTCTGTAATGCTATGTGAAAACAAAACACGTTTTCTTCTCTCCTTTCTTAAAGAAGGAGGAAGTGGGATTTGCTCTACCAGCTATGTCAAACTGTTAGTTTAAAAAAATACTATTTAATAATAACCAGATTGACTCTCAATTTAATTTCAGTATGCTAGAAGAGAACAGCACGTAATAGCTTGCAATTCAGCTCTGATGAAGGAACAGCATTTCCAGTGTATTTTGTTACTGTCTTCTATTATTCAAAAAAGTCTGTAACAACAAAGTTGTCAAAGCTATGTTATGTTACAGGCTGAATTCAAGTAGTTCTTACTTACCAGCTTTTTACTAATTGTACTGATGGAGTGCCTAGTAATTTATCAGGAAGAAGTTCAATTTCTCTCAGTATGTTTGCAAACCTCACAGGAAGTTCTTGTCGCAAAAACGCAAAAGAAGTTCTCTCACATCCGTTAGTTGAGCCTATGCATAAGTTCAAAATAAAAGTGTTGTGAGAAAGGTTTCAAGATACAAGTCGCTTTCTTTCCACAGATTTCAGGACTATATTCCTTTGCAATCATCATGCTATTGCTGGCCAGTTCTCCTACGTGTATGCATATGCTTGTGCTGAACGTTGTTTACATGACAGCAAGATACAGCGTGTTCCTGGGAGGAATATTTGTACATTTCCTATTTAGAGATGGGACTTAGGTGTAATCCTCTAGAAGCAGCACTCCAGCCTTTGTAAACACACGCTTCTTCGAGGTGACGTCTGAAAGTGTCACGTGAGCACAGACTTCACAGCTGCCAAAGCGTAATCGGATCTGGGTACAGCTTGTTCACTCCATCAAGACAACACTAATGACTCCTCCCCGATAACGCGTACCGAGAACACGAAAACACCTATTAGCCGATTTAACTCTTT